GACTCAGCTGGCGGCAGGGTGGGACGGGGGCTGTTGTCTGGGACAGTGTGTGGATTAGCATGTTCTGCCTGTGATGGAGCCAGTGCGGGGGCCCTGTTCTCTCAGCTTCTAGGAGGCTGTTTTCAAAGGAGAATGACACTGTTTATGCTTTAACTAGCAGGGCAAGTAAAGTGGGTTGGGAGGTAGCCTGATCTGAAAACACGGACCCAGCTCAGCACCCAAGGAGCTTTTCTGGGCTAGGGCATCAGGGGGATTTTCCTCTGAGGGCCCCTCCTGCAGTCGGCTGAGCACAGGAAGGAGTGAGCCGCGCGGTTAACTCTTTGTGGAAATCTCGCTGCTGGCCCATGTGCTGTATTGCAGAAGCAGTGGAGCATCGGGTCATGAACAGCCTGCCGCTAACACTGACCTCCTGTGTGCAGCAGATTGGCTGGCTCTGCTGGTGTGATGTGGTCCTTCTGCCTCAGGACAGATTCTGGCTGAGTGCTAGAGCGGGACATGGCTCAGGGCTGGGGGTAGCAGAGAGGCGCCCAGGCAAATGCTCTGGCCCTTGTGTGGAAGGGGATCCCAGTTACGTCCCGGTAGGTGAGCCCAGGCCATGCTCAGCCCTCTTGAGCTGCTTGTGAGAAGCCAGGCTCACACCTAACAGTGTATAGAGAGTGCAGGGCCCACTAGGTGTGTCAGCCTGATCCAGAGGGAGCACTGCAAGGTGGGACCTCTAGTCTTGCTTTGTGGTGTACTCAAGGGGAGGGTGACGGGGGCTGCATTGCAGAATGCTGGGGCCACTCGGCTGTGACCCAAGTCTGACTTCTCCCCTCTTCCCTTTCAGGCTTTTGGAAGGTGGCACCAGCTGACAGCATCCCGGCTGGAGGGCCGGGGACACTGCTGAGCTGCTGGAAGGACGGGCCAGAGCTCATCTCCTTGGGCCAGCTGAGAACATGGCTGGGTATTGAGTGGAAGAGGAGGGTGTCTCCTTTGAACACTTCCCAGGAACGTGGGGCAGTCTCTCCCTTTCAGAACTGCCCCCACCAGATAGCTGCAGGGAGCCCCAACTGTTGGCCCAGTCCCTGCTGCTAGTGACACAGTGGGCTGGCAGAGGGACGAGCCAGGGAGCTACTAGGTGCAGAATGAAGCTGCACCCTGGGCCGGATCCAAAGTGCGGAACACTGGACTGTCTTCCTGCCCGGCTTTGGGGCACGTTCCTGCTAGTAAGCTGGGGCACACAAGGGCACTCCCCTAGGCCCGGGCCAGGCAGGACTGATGCTTCTGTGGGGGCAAGTGGCTTGCAGGCTGCACGCTGTGCGGAGTTGGAGTTGGGATTAAAGGGCAGTCTGCCACATGCTCTGTCCTTTGAATCAGGTTCAGACGGGA